CTGCTCCCCCCCTTCTTTTTCTCTCTTATTCCCTCCTTCCCCCCGTTCTCCCTCCACGCCCTTCTCTCTCCCTCCTCTCTCTCTCCCCCTCCCCCCTCTCTCTCTCTCACTCCCTCCCCCCCTTCTCTCTCTCTCTTTTCTCCCCCCTCCCCCTTCTCTCTCTCTTTCCATCTCTCTCTCTCTAACTCTCTCTCCACCCTCCTCCCTCCCTCCCCCCCCCCTCTCTCTCCCTCCCTCCCTATCTCTCTCTCCCTCTCTTCCCTGCTCTCTCTTCATCCTCCCTCCCTTCCCCCCCTTCTCTTCCCTCTCTCCCTCCCTCCCCTTTCTCTCTCTCCTCCCTCCCTCCCTCCCTCTCTCTTCTCTCTCTCTCTTTCTCTCCCTCCTCTCCCTCCCCTTCTCTCTCTCTCTCTCTCTCTTTCCATCTCTCTCTCCTCCTCCCTCCCCCTCTCCTCCCTCCTCCTCCCTCCCCCCCTTTCTTTCTTCTCTCTCCTCTCTCCCCTGCTCTCTCTTCATCCCGCCTCCCTTCCCCCCCCCTTCTCTCTCTCTCTTCATCTCTTCATCCCTCCCTCCCCCCCTCTCTCTCTCTCTCTCTCCCCTCCCTCCCTCCCTCCCTCCCCCCCTTCTCTCTCTCTCTCTCCCTCCCTCCCTTCTCTCTTCCCCTCTCTCTCTCTCTCTTCCTCCCCCCTCCCTCCCTCTCTCTCTATCTCTCTTTTCACTAAAAGGTCATTCACCTCTCTGTGTCAGCACACGTTGCAAAGAGACATCGTTCAACACACGGACGAACATTTATCGGCGCGGGAAATAGGTGAAAATAGATGTCTCCTATTGACGGCCATTTTGCTTTCTTTCATTCTTGTCAAAAACGCGGGAATAAGCGTAGTTGTGGGAATGGAAAAAGGAGGGAGGGGGGGGAGGGGGGGAAGGGGGGAGGGGGAGAACGAAGGGGGGAGGGGAAGGGGAGGAAGGGGTGGAGGTAATAAAAATGGATTTTGCTTTATTTCATTTCTTCGGAAAATGCGGGAAGATAAGCGTAGGTGTGGATAGGAAAAGGAAGGGGGAGAAACGAAGGGAGGAGGGGTGGGGGTAGGGGGGGAGGAGGAAGGGGTGGGGGGTATAAAATGGATTTTGCTTTATGTCATTCTTCGAAAACGCGGGAATAAGCGTAGTTGTGGATAGGAAAAAGGAGGGGGGGGGACGAAGGGGAGGGGAGGGGGAGTGGGGAGGAGGAGGAGGAAGGGGTGGGGGTATAAAAATGGATTTTGCTTTATGTCATTCTTCGAAAACGCGGGAATAAGGCGTAGTTGTGGATAGGAAAAAGGAGGGGGGGGGAAACGAAGGGGGGAGGGGAGGAGGGGGGAGGAAGGAGGGGAGGAGGAGGAAGGGGTGGGGGTAAAAATGGATTTTGCTTTTATTTCATTCTTACGAAAGCGCGGGGAATAAGCGTAGTTTGTGGATCAGGAAAGAGGAGGGGGGGGCGAAGGGGGGAGGGGGAGGGGGGTTGTGGGGGGAAGGGGGGGGGGGTATAAATGGGATTGTTGTGTAATTGTTGGTTCGAGATTAGGTAGTTCGGTTGTATTCCCTTAGCCCCTATCTCCTTTTTTATCATTTTATTCGCTTTCCCTTGCTATTCTCTCTATATAAATCACTTATTCTGCCTCACCCTCCCCTGTCTTCTGTTCTCTTTTCTCTCTGTTTCTGTCGTTCTGTCTTCTGTCTCTCCTCTGGTTTCCTGTGTCTGGCCTCTGTTTCCGTCTTTGCTGCCTGCTTCCGTCTTTCTCTCTCTCCCCTCTGTTTCTGTCTCTCTTTCTGTTTTTGCTTCTCTCTCTCTCTCTCTCTCTCCTCCCTCTTTTCACCCCTCTTTGCTAACCTACTACCCCTCCCTTCCCCATTCCACGCCTCCCACAACTTAACCCCCCCTTTACCCCCTTCCCCCCTTCCCGCCTTTTTCTGTACTGCCCCCTTCCCCCATTCACCCCTCTTTCTAACTTAACCCCCCCCTCTACCCCTTCCTCCCCCCCGACCCCCCCTTTTTCTGTAACCTCGGACATAAATCCTTGACATCAGGTCATTCACCCGCTTGCCCTTTGTATGACGGTTGAACGGCGCGGTCCCTGTTCGCTCAACGGTTTTTTAACGGCTTTTTTTTAAATTACGTTAGAGGTAAAAGGTGGGTTGGTAATTATCTTTTTTTTTCTCTCTCTCTCTCTCTTTGTCTCTGTATTTTTCTTTCTCTCTCTCATTCTCCCTTTTCGTTCTTTTTCTTTCTCTCATTTCCGTTCTCTCCCCCCATCTCTCTCATTTTTATTTTGTATATACGTATGTATGTGTACACGATACAGATGATATAATAAACTTTCTTTACTTAACGCTATTTTTTGTTCTTTTGCTCTGCTTTTTACAGAGAGCGAATAAGGAGAGAGAGAGAGAGAGAGAGAGAGAGAGAGAGAGAGAGAGAGAGAGAGAGAGAGAGAGAGAGAGAGAGAGAGAGAGAGAGAGAGAGAGAGGAGGAGTGACTGAGAGAGAGAAAGAGAAAGAGAAAGAGAGAGAAAGAGGAGTGACTGAGACAGACACACAAACGGAGTCCAGAAAGGTAGAGAAAGAACAGACAGACAGGAAGTCGAAGTCACTAGACACCGAAAGACTTGAAACAGGCGGGAATCAGAATTTAGGAGAACCCTAAAAGTCTCACGAAATGAACCACTTAATTGCATATTCACAATTAAACTAAGGAGTTAAAAGGCTCATTTAATCCATGAGGCTTTCTCTTCCCTCATCGTTTTTCACCCTCAGATAATAACATAGAAATAACGAAAGACACAAAAAATGAAAACAGGTTAAGCCTTGTTATGCTCGATAAAATCATCCACTTTACACGGCTATGAGGATTTTCTTTTTTGAAAACTATTTCGCTGAGCATCACCATCATCATAACCTTAGAACGAGCTCGGTGAATGACTGCCGGTAGAAGATAATGCCGCGGTTTATTCTCGTAAAATTTGAAAAAAAGCGGCAGCCACGCTTGACCGTGTTCGAACACAGGTGGCCTTGGCTCCGACTACGAATAAACAAAGAGCGATTTATAAAAAGAAAGTCATTTTTTGTGTGTTTTTCGATATTATATTCTGTTTTATACTTTGCGGAGGAATTTTTCTTCTAATTTTTAATAGTGGTATTGTTCAGAACAAGAAGCTATATATATCTGACATTACTTACCTGGAAACTCGTAAGCAAACTAGAAAAATCAAATGAAAATAAAAATAAAATTCAGTTGTAACTCGAAACGGTTGTCTCACTTTTCAAATAAACTTCTTTTGTTGATTTTACTTTTTTTCTTGTTAGAGCAAGAAAAAATATGTGTAGTAGGTCAGTAAATAATAACACATGCAACATAAGTGGGACAACATGACTAGTTTCAAAGACATGGTCGTTAACATCAAAGTGATATATAATTGTGTATATCAATTTATATATATCTATATCTATATTCATATCCATATCTGTCTGTTTATCTAATTATCTATGTTTGTACCTATATCTATGTATTTATCTATCTGTCTATCTATTTATCTGTCTATCTACCTACCTATCTCTATCTTATTATCTATATCTATCACTCCAGCTATCAATCATCATTATTATAATCATCATCATCATCCCCACCCCCCCCACACACACACAAGCAACCAATAATAATAATACGATTTCCCTTCCCTCCCTCCCTTCATCCTTCCTTCCTCCACCTCTCTTCCTCCTTCTCCACCTCCTCCCACCCTTCCTTCCCTCCCCTCACCACAAACCATCCCCTTCCTCCCCCCTCCCCTCACCCACCCCCATCCTCCCCAACTCCCTCCTCTCCACCCCCCCCCCCACCCTTCCCTCCAACCATCCCCCCCCCTCCCTCCCCCACCCCTCCTCATTCCCTCCCTCCCTCCCCACCCCGCATTCCAGAGAGTGATGCTCCTGATAGGAGAGGAAGTGGCCGAGCTCCTGCCTCTCGACGGCGACCTTCCTTCGTCAGGCGAACATCTACAAGCGAGGTCATCTGGCGAGCCGGTACACGCACGTGGTCAAACGGCATCCGCTGCCCGCCATTGTGGATCTGGAGTGTCACAGTGAGTATGGTTGGGGGAGGGGGGGGTGGAGGGGGGGTGGGAGGGAGGTAGGGAGGAGGGAGGGAAGGAAGAGGGAGGGAGGGAGGGAGGGAGGGAGAGAGAGGGAGAGGGAGGGAGGGAGGGGGAGGGAGAGGGAGGAAGGGTTGGGGAGAGAGGAGGGAGTGAGTGTTACAGTGAGTAGGTTAGGTGAGAGAGGGAGAGGGAGAGGGAGAGGGAGAGGGAGAGGAGAGGGAGAGGGAGAGGGAGAGGGAGAGGAAGAGGGGAAAAGAGGGAGAGGAGAAGGAGAAGGAGAAGGAAGGAGAAGGAGAAGGAGAAGGAGAGAGAGAGAGAAGAAGGAGAGAGAGAGAGAGAGAGAGAGAGAGAGAGAGAGAGAGAGAGAGAGAGAGAGAGAGAGAGAGAGGAGAGAGGAGAGAGAGAAGAGAGAGACACAGAGAGAGAGAGAAAAAATAGAAAGAGAAGAAGTAGTTAAGGTAGTAAAAAAGAAGAAATACATATGCATATATATATATATATATATATATATATATATATATATATATATATATATATATATATATAGATAGATAGATAGATAGATAGATAGATAGATAGATAGATAGATAGATAGATAGGTAGATATAGATATAGATATAATATATATATATATATATCTATATTTATTTATATATTGTAACTAGTTTCATCTGCTATTCAGTTAGTTTCTCTCATAGTTCCTCTCTCTTGGCGACAAGAAAATTTCTGTCGACTTTTTTTTTCAAATCTGAATGCCTTCGGGGAATTCAAGAGAGGATTTAACCCAATTATTTTAGCGCGGGACTTTCGCGTCTCCGGCAAAGTTAGGCTGTTTTTTTCTCTATTTTTTTTCTTTTTTTTTTAGTTTTTTTTCTTCTTCTTTTTTTTTTTTTTTTGCTTTTATCATCGGGAAACTTTTTTTTTTGTTTTTGTTTTTTTTTTCTTCTTTCCCCCATTTTTATCAACAGAAAACTTTCTTTTTTTTTTATTTTTTTTTCTTCTTTTTCCCCATTTTTATCATCGGGAAACTTTCTTTTTTCTTTAGGTTTTTTTTCTTCTTTTTTTTTTTTGCTTTTTATCATCAGGAAACTTTCTATTCTTTAAGGTCGGGGTTTAGTGTGTTGTTCTACCTAAGGCAAGGACGGATTATTATTTATTTTGTTTTGTTTCGTATTTTTTACTTTATCACTATTATTATTATTATTGTTGTTGTTTGTTTTGTTTTATTATGTTATTATTATTATTATTATTATTATTAGTAGTAGTAGTAGTAGTAATTGTTTTATCATTATTATTTATTTTTATTTTTTGTCTATTTTTTATTTATTGTTTCTTATTTCTTGATGTTTCTTATTTTATATTCTACTATTACTATTATAATTTTATTTTATTTATTCATTTATTTTTTGTCTTGGGACTTTTCTATATTTCTTTTTATCATATATATATATTTTCTTTTGTATTTTCTTTTAGTTGTGACTTATTCTGCTTTGCTTTCGTCTCTATTCTTCATTTTTTTCTTTTGTTTTTCATAGTTTTCAAGCGTTTTTTTTTTTTTTTTTTTTTTAATCTTATCACGTACTTTTCTTCTTTTCGGGCAAATAATTTCAAGATAATGTTAGATTATGTCTGTTTTGTAATCTATAAGTAGCCATATACATAGACATAATTAGTTTTATTAGGTTATCTAATAATTAGGTTATCTTTATACAAACTTAATACGAACACTGGCCAGAAATCACATTATTTAGTTCGTGGCGTTCTCTCTCTCTCTCTCTCTCTCTCTCTCTCCTCTCTCTCTCTCTCTCTCTCTCTCTCTCTCTCTCTCTCTCTCTCTCTCTCTTCTCTTCTCTCTCTCTCTTCCTCTCTTCTCCTCTCTTCTCTCTCTCTTTCTCTCTCTCTCTCTCTCTCTTCTCTTTCTCTTTCTCTCTCTCTCTCTCTCCTCTCTCTTCTCTCTCTCTCTCTCTCTCTCTCTCTCTCTCTCCCCTCTCTCTCCTCCTTTTCTCTCTCAATCCGTCTCTCTCTCTCTTCCTTTCTCTCTCTCTCTCTCTCTCTCTCTCTCTCTCTCTCTCTCCTCCTCTTCCTCCTCTCTCGCTCTCTCTCATCTCTTCTCTCTCTCTCCTCTCCTCTCTCCTCTCTCCTCCTCTCTCTCTTTCTCTTTTCTCCTTCTTTCTCTCCTCAACTCCTCCTCTCTCTCTCTCTCGTCTCTTCTTACTCTCTCTTTTCTCTCTCTCTCTCTCTCCTCTCTCTCTCTCTCTTCTCTCCCTCGTCCCTCTCATCTCTCCTCGTCTCCTCTTTCTCTTTCTCTCTCTCCCCTTCTCTTCTCTCCCTCCTCTCTCTCTCTTTCTCTTCTCTCTCTCTCTCTCTCTCGTCTCTCTCTCTCTCCTTCTCTCCTCTCTCTCTCTCTCTCTCTCTTTCTCTTCTCTCTCCATCTCTCTCCTCTCTCTCCTCTCTCTCTCTCTCTCTCTCTCTCTCTCTCTCTCTCTTCTTCTCGTCTCTCTCATCTCTCGTCTTCCCCCCTCCTCTCTCTCTCTCTGTGTCTCTCTCTCTCCTCTTCTCTCTCTCCGTCTCTATCTCTCTCTCTCTCTTCTCTTCTTCTCTCTTCCTCCTTCTCTCTCATCTCACCTCTCCTCACTCCTTCTTCTCCTCTCTCTCCTCTCTCTCCTCTCTTCTCATTCGCTCTCTCCCATCTCTCTCTCTCTCCCTCTCTCTCTCTCTCTCTCTCTCTTCCCCCCCGCCCTCGTCTCCTCTCTCTTCTCTCTTCTCTCTCCGCTCTCTCTGTCCTCTTCTCCCTCTCACATCCTCTCCATCTCATTCTCTCTCTCTCCCTCATCTCTCCTCTCGCTACTCTCTCCTCGTCTCTCTTCTCTCTCTCTTTCTCCCTCTCTCCCGCCATCTCCCCCCCTCACCCTCTCTCCGCCTCCTCGTCCCTCCTGCGCCCCCCCCCCCGCCCCACCTCTCTCCTCTCCCTCCTCTCTTCTCCATCTCCTCTCTCTCTCTCTCTCACTCTCTCCTCTTTCTCTCAAACACTATTCCTCTCATATTCTATCCCTCTCTCTCCTCACCTCTCAATTCTCTCTCTGTCCTCTCTCTCTCTCTCTCTCTCAGGTCTCTCTTTCTCTATCTCCAGTTTCCTCCTCTCCCTCTCCTCCCTCTCACTTCTCATTCTCCGCTCTCTCATTCTCTCTCTCTCCTCTCCCTCCCTCATTCCTGTCTCTAATCTTCTCTCTCTCCCTCGTTTCTCCTCCCTCTCCCCCTCTCTCTCTCTCTCCCTCCTTCCGTCTCCGCTCTTCCCTCTCCCTCTCTCCCTTCTCTCTCGCCTCCCTCTCTCATCTCCTCTCTCCTTCCTCGCTCTCTCTCTCTCTCTCTCTCTCTC